AATCTGATCGAACAAAAGTTTGCTCTTATTTAGAGCTTCAAAACAAAAAATAATAGTTATTGCTTAAACCGAAAGGGAATTATTTCAACTATCCAGCCTGGAAGCCATGTTTTGAGATAACTGTCAAAGAAGTTTTGGAAATCGATTTTTTCATTCAAATCTAGAAAAAAAGGCATATTCATAATATATTCCAGTGGGAGTGTGTGGTGTGGGTGTGGATGTGGATGTGAGTTGGCGTTGGTCAGAAGCTCCAGTTGAATGGAACCCTATTAGCTACAAGCACGCTCAGCCACGAAATCACTCATTGTAATCCAAAACCACCCATATATTCAGAGTTTATACGTCCAATCGATATTAATATGAATACATCTCAAAATAAACATGCATATCAACGCAGGCCTTGATAGAATTAATCTGCAGAATTACCGTTCAATGATTTTTAGGGATGCGACAGACTTTTATAGCAGAGAAGTCTATAAAAAATAAGAACAGATCGAATCGAATGCTTCTTGCTCTATTGTTTCAGTTTGAATATTTTTTTAATGCATTTAATCATCTAGATGCTTTTCGGTTTTTACTCACTGACAATTTATTGTTCTCGATTATTTCTCATTTCAAAACGTTTTTTTGTTAATCATTATTTGCTTGGTTTTAATTCGATGCTCGCATTGACTCTTTGAAGGTTCTTTGCTAAAAACATGCAACCATACAACTGAAGTCTTGCCTGAGTTGATGCAACGATTCGAGTCGCTTCACGTCTCCATTCAATAATTTTTGTTCACTGACACTTACTTTTAGTAGTTATTGTCCTTTCACCTTAGGCATACTAAAATTCTGTTGATCACTCATGTCTCTATGCCTGATATTTGTGGGACGGATCAGAGTAGAAATCGGTAAAGCTTTCTACTTACCACTATCGGTTCCGATCTAAATCCTCCAACCGAACCGGACTCGATCAGTGAATATACCGATATGAGTCATTTGTTCCCTTTTTGACCTTGTGGGTGTGACTGTGGGCCTTGTCTTCGCTCACATCATCATCGACATCAACACACACATTCACATCCTTCAGGTCGCCAGCAAGAATTAGGAGATTGTGTGATGGGTTACCGTCGGGATGATTTTGTAAATCTTCGTAGGTAGCATATTTTTCTTAGTCTCTTTTATCGTTTGCATGTGCATACGATACTATGATGGTTATTGATGAGTTACTTTTAAAGTGTGTCACCATGATGCGATTTGCTATCTTTTTCCGATGAGTGTAGCAGTTTAACTATTCTAAAACTTATGAGTAGTACAATGCCAGCTTGTTCCTCTGCTGCTGCTGAAGGATATGCGAAGTACCATGTTATGTTATTCAATAGCTCATAATATGTGCTGACTTGTTTTGAATTTTTTCATCGATGCTCTTGAATGACCACCGAGTCGAAATTGTTTTCGGCGCAGTTCAAAATGAGTTGATGTATCTTTCCACATTGTTTGGAAGTGCGTGTAGTGTAGGTGGATATTGTGATGACTTTGCAGCAAGGTTTGGAGGATTTGTTTTTGTTGCGATCATACTTGTATCATCAAATACATGTGACTGTTCTATTATAAATTTGGATGCATTTGGGATTCTTGCATGCGGATGACATAACGAAATGCTGTTGCCTGGAATGAGTCGATCAATTGTTGTCTTCGGAGTAATTGTAAAACATGCATCGGATGACTAGTCCTGAAGTGCTTTATCAGAGACCATCCTAACTGTCAAGATACCGTTGTCCATCCAATATTACGCGGAAGTGAAGGATTAGATTTTGTCGAACTGACTCTGCTAAATCAATTAATATATTGATAGTTAATGGAATTGATGATAATGATGATGATTCTTGATTTGTTTGAAGTTCAAGATAAATGCTTATAATATACGAATAGTAAACCCTAATATGAACTATCAACCAATATAACGTAACAGGTGGATACACACTATCAATTGATATACTATAATGGTTGACACCGGGTTCTTGTTGCACATCTTTATAATCTATTAAACGACAAAAAAAGTTAATTGCAACGAATATTGTGCATTTTATGTTGTACCAAAAGCATCATTTCTATTACTTGATTGTGTTGAGAATGAAATTTTTAAGTCAATTTTTTTTCTCATTTATTGTATTCTTTGATTCATAAGTTTGTTGTTCAGATATTTCCGATCAAAAATTCAATTAATTAACGATGAAAATCAAAAGATAAATAATATCAAATCTTTGTTATTTAATAGTTGATGAAATATTAATAGACAATGTTAATAGATAAGATGCAATAATTGTCTACTATTTAATGAATGTTGTAATTGTAAACAATAGTAGTCAAACCTAAAGAAAAGTTCCAAAAAAAAAAAACTCTTTTTATATAGTTTTTATTCATTATAATAGTAAATTGTTTATTCATTATAATGATAAATTAATAATAGGAATGGATGACATAACAACGGATATAATAGTTTGGTCAGAATACTGTACAATCGGCTATTTTGTTTTCGTTGTTTCGATATCGAACAAAACGAGTGTTAGTTGTCGCTTCAATGAGTATTTTTTCAAGCAAACAATGAAACTGATATCAGACAACAGAAGTAATAAAAATGCAAAGTGAAATCTTCATACCTTCCGAATTTTACAATCTAATTTTTATATTCAAAAACTAGAGTTTTTTGAGTCTTAGAAAGATAAAACTATAATATAAAAAGAACGTAAAGCATGATAGCAGCTAATATTTATAAATTTAATTTCATAAATATACTTGAATGAATATAGTATAGATAGAACGTTAAATAAATGAAACAACTTTTGGAAAAGTCTTCAACTTGTTGATCATAATCTTGAGCTGATAAGTAAGAGAATCAAGAGCAAACTCAAACGATGCATTCTGCTTGTCGTAATTCTATTAATAGTATATTTTTTTCTCTTTTACTGATTATTGTAGATTAATAATTCAGACCTCTGATAATGACCAAAATCAGCATAATTGATAAAAGAAATGCGATTGTTTTAAAAAAGAGATCTGAAAACAATTTAACATAATATAAATGAAATATGAATCAATTCAACCCAATCTAGTCTATAGATTTAAAATATTATAACTGTGCCAATGATCAAGGCATGTCCTGTCTTCTTTTATTTGGTCGATGATGTAAGAGTGCTCGGTCACCATTCGACTAGACGCTCTGACCTCATGAATTATAGTAGTTGTCCGGTCACTCTGTCATTTATTCAATCTTTGCTCTTTTCTCGCTTTTCACTCGTTCTCTCCCTTGTATATCATCTCGTGTTCTATATGAAGTAGTGCAGCGAGCATCTATATAGTGAATGGCGGTAACACTACTCTCTAGGTCGAAAAGAATGACTCATAAAAGATCGTCAACGACTCGAAAATGGTAAAAAATGGCTCCCATTTCGATGATCATTTACGATGCAGTCTAAAATAGAGAACTACAGTGATAGATAGCATCTATTACAGTCATCGTTTACATTCCAACGAAAACCATCATTGTTTCGATCGCTGTCCTAGGCAAACATCTTGTAAGCAAGATCTGGACCAAGATGCAAGCCACAGAAATGTGAACAGATCTTGGATACAGATCAATAAGATCTTGACTGAAATACATGTGGTCACAAAATTATCAATGAAATTCCTATATGATTGCCTCTAAAGACTTCTGAAGTAGTCTTTTCAATATCAAATTCGACGCTGAATCTGAATCTGAAGTCAGATTTACTCTACGAATACAATGATCTAAGTTAGAGATTAGTGTTTTATTCAAAAAATGTTCAAAGTCATTGCTCTGAAAAACGAGTGTAGTGAGTTATTTGTTAAAAAAATAAATAAATGCTCGAATTCATAGATTTTATTAGTGAACTACTTTATCCAAAAAGATGCTTACCAGTACTTTTAGACGCAGAAGACACAATTGTTGTATTTTTATGCGCCCCTTTTGTATTCGTCTACTTTGGATGTAGTTTATGATGATCAATCCAGGATGCAAGAATGGCATTTATGTAATGAGATGCTTCGCATTATAATAGAAAGTATAAGCATAACACTATCTAGGGTGCAATTCGAATAATGAAAATAAGTCGTATGCGGCAAAAAAACAGTGTGACTACAACAGTATACGATGAATATATGGTTCTAATGCTGTGCACTGGTTTTTGACTGAAATGACCCTAAACACTGCCGTTTACGGTTCTGTAGAAAACAGCCCGTAATCCAAACTGACGGGAAATGTTTCAAAGAAGATGAAAAACGACTATCGTTTCTCATCATTCATAGAAATAATTATACCATTTCTCCAATGTCTTAGGCAGTTTAAGGTGTTGCTTCAGACAATCGGAATGATCAAACTGAGTACTATAGTTTGTCATTATTGATCACAATAAAATGCAAGTTGCATTGGTAACGAAAGAGAACATCAGCTCGTCTGTCTCATTTTTGTTACGATAACAAAATCCAACTATTGTAACAATTCATTCTATTGGTAGTAAATCAAGAAATGCGCAAATTTACACGAGTGACGATAATAAAAGAAAATTGCATTTATTGATTGATTTTTGAAAACTGTTCATTAATAGAAATATTTTTCGAAGTTTTGGATTGCACAACACAAATTGAACTTAAAATTAATGGATATGAAGAGAGAAGCAATTTAAATAGTAAACTCTTCTTCTTTGTCTATTCTAATAATATATTATTCCATTGTCTAGTAAATCTAAAAGAACATAGTGCATTATTTTTTTCAACGCTAACATATATTGTTATATGCTTTTACATAATATAAAAGGCTTGTATACCGACTTTTAAATGAATCGGAAGAAGAATTTCAAATTTTAATGGAAAAAATTTATTGTATAAATGGTTAAAATCGTAGAAGATTCTTAAAAAAAAATACTATAATAACAGATTCTGAAACTAGTACATTTCTTTAAAACTCATCACCGTAGAGATCAATGATCTCCTACGTGAACTCAATAAGAACCATACCCATATGGTGAACTGAAGGTACGTCCATAACCTCCAAGAGCGTCAAACCCACCATAACCTGAAGCACCAAGACCACCATAACTTGAGGCACTGAGACCATCATAACGAGGAGTATTAAAGCTAAAGTAGTTTGGACTACTGAAAGCAGTGTAACCTGGATTTCCGAAGCTCCCACCAAGACCTGAACCACCCATAGTTCCATTGTAACCTCCGAAACTGCTTTGATTTCCTAAAATTTATCATTTATAGACGATGTTAAATAAATCCTTATATCGTTCTTACCGTAAAGAGGATATCCACCAAACATTGTTGCTACTTGTATCTTATGGAGAATTGAAGTGAATATGGAGAGAATAAGAGAATGTGTATATAAGAGAGCACATCAATGCGTATTTATATGCTCACCAAACTGCTCTCTTCTATTATCTCTATTACAAATCGACCTTTACATAAAAATCACAAGCGCATTCATGCAAGTCCAGTGTGATTTAAATATTCATGTATATATACGAAACAACCTTCCGAAAAATTGTTTCTTAAATGATGCACACATTGTTCATATTCAGCTTGTCAGTTTGCGGAGAAAGATAAATGACTATTTAATGAGATACTGTCCATGTCGAAGGATGCTATCTACAAAACCTAATACGCAATTATATTTTTATGTGCATCAAACAAAAACTTGACTGTCAGTTATAAAATACAGATGGTTAATTGAACGAATTATGTATACATGAATGAATGATGAATGCACATTGATCGAAGGATACGTGAAAGGAGACAACACATATAAGAAAATCATTCAACTGAAACGCAATCATAATGGTTGCGTATTCGACAGCGAAATAACTTTTTAGTAAAATTATCTTGTACGTATCGATATTTCTCAAAGATGAGACGTTGAATCAGGAAAAGTAAAACCATTTTATGATTTGACAGTATAAAATTAGCAAATGCTCGATAATCTATTTTTAATTTTTCTATATGTGCTTTATTTTTTCAAATCGATATTTAGTATAAACATGTGATAAGCAAGAAAATTCGTCAAGAACAACATTTGCATTTTCTCGATGATTTTGAATTAATGCCAACAAGAATTTATAAGAAAATATGAATTACGTGATAATTGTTAATTTCGGGTAAGTTTCAATATTCTCTCAAGTGTATTATCGAATATTAATCTCATTTCTCTAAGTGTAGATTGATTTACTTCATTCAATTATCATTTTCAAAATGATTATCAACCATCACATTACTGATCTTTCACAAAATTACTGTTCATCGTGAATCTGTTGTATTTCGTGTAACATCTGTTACTAAACTCATCGTATAGTATGATCATATTTCAAAGTCTTCACTAAAGTTTAGAAATACAATAAAATATTATCGACAAATTATTTCTTTTAGATAATTTTTAATATTCTTTCAAAATGTTTTTATCTATTAAAAAATTCGCTTTGTGCTTAATAATTGTAAAATATTTGAGAAAAATCAAATAACTTTAAAAATAACAAATGTAATGATCGTACGTGATTATCCAAAATAGAATTCGGTTTTCTTCAAAATATAAACATTTTTTAATTAATTGTGAAAAAAAACTAGCTCTATAAATAAAGTTTCACTCAACTCTTTCTTCACATAATTCTTCGGTCAACATCATTTATTAGAACTTGCATTAGCCAGAAAAAAATACAATGATTGCAATGCATGAATTTCGTACAACCAAATACATATTATAAAAAAATTGCTGTCTAAGATCGCTCTCAGGAATATGAGTAATATCATCTGCTATCTTATAAATATCTGAATGAATGATGAAATCATCACTATACAGTATACTTAGAATCAAAATATTGAGATATATTGCAAACGTGACGTGTAATCAAAGACTTTATACATGCAGATCGATTCTATACAATTTGACTTATATGATTTTTGTTTATTGACAGAAATGCACATCACTTGAATAGAAATGTAGGCCAATGTATTGGTCGGCAGCGACTGACTTGTTTGTAATTTGTAATTTTTTTTTCGAATTTTTTTTATACATACAAAGTTGATTTTCAGTTCTAAAAATATACTTTATAGATAGAGGATATTTGAGTTTATATATTAGCCAGAAAGAAAAAATAAAAGCCTAAAAATTTTAGGTCACAAAAGAAAGATTCTTTTGAACCGTGAATTATAATGGTCAGTTTTTAAAGTAATTCTTTATTTATCTTTTTCTGATTATAAAAAAGATTTCAATCAATCATATTATTTAAACTTCTTCTCAACTCTATTAATTTGTTAGTTAACAAAAAATGCATCAACGGAAGAAGAAAATATTTCAATTATCTCAACTATCTTTATATGAAAAATATATTTCTCTTTAAAATTATTATAATAACTCAAACGAAGAATATGAAATATATTGTACTATATATGTATATCTGTAGTTTTTAATCCTAAGTTTTCAAGAAAATATTTTCTATAATTGAAAAATCAATGTTGTTTCTCTAACGTTCAATGACGAATAAAAGTACTTTTGATCATCAATTTTATTTCGAGTAGTGGTTTTTTCATTATCTCTTCTTGGATGCTTCTACACAATTCGCATACATTCTCATCCACATTCAGCATTTTGTTTTCAGGGGGTCAAATGGATTAATGTATAATCAAAGAAATTAGTGTATGATAAAGCAAATTACTGTATGTTTAAAGCAATTAGTGAATGGAGTGTGTGTATTTTTAGAAAAACTATATATCCATTTAAAAATATGGTTTCTCTTTAGATCAACGAAATCCTTTACACCAAATTGATCTTGCTAACAGAGCGCATCAAAGAGTAGGAGTACCGCAATGTCCGTGTCTAGAGAAGTACCAAACATATTGTTTCCTACGTCTATATCATAATATATAAACAGTTCTAGACAAAAGTATCCACCTACTATAAACTCGTCTAATTTCTTATGATATGAGGTTGATATTTTAGATGTAGATTGGTCTTAGTGAATCCTGATCGCAATCAATACTCCGCCCTCAATCGGTGGATATAGATTGAAGTTATCAAGTCAACAATGTTATCAGATTGTCGAAGTAATATTTCGGTCATCTTTTGACTTGTGTTCACATAATTCATCATTTGTAAGTCTAATAGTGCAGCTATCTGCAGTCAAAATTTGATAAGAAATTATCCTAGAATAACGGAGATCTGAAGCTTGCATTGAAAACTTTCACCAAGCAGTTAGCCATAGTTTTCAGCATAGCATCAATAATTCAAACTCAACTCAATGAATTCAGGGTGTGAGTGTGGATGTGAGAAGAGAGAACTGATAAACCCACACTCACACATACCACGCTCTCACCATTTTTTCTATATATAGCTCGTCATCTGATCTATAACGTTTACATAGCATAGTTTTTCGTCACATTAGTTGTTGAACTACAGTTTTTAGTTCTTTACACAACACCCAAGTCATGTTACCATTTTTGGTTATTCCGTCATGGCCATATATTTCAATGATTAAACTGTAAAACAAAGACAAGATCTAACGACACTTTTATAATATGTAGAGCAACCCGACTTATATATGATTTCAGAATATCAGTCTTATTAGACTTAAATTTGTTAAGATATTTTAGAGGCCAGGTGAAAAAACATTATTCTATGACGATTGGACAGGTCATATTAAATAAGAAATAAGATGGTAACATCTCCAAAACTATCATCCCAATACTTGCTTTCTTGTTAACTTGCATAGTTTTACTCACAAAAAAATAAATACTCTATGTCCATATTATCAATGGAGCTATGCCTAAAAGAAAAAAAGACATCAAATAGCAGATAATTCATAGGTTGGTTAACCTGATCAGAACATTATCGAACATGTCATATGCTCTTTTTCATGGCAAAACAAGAGTGTTTTAGTGGTCAGTTAGAAGAAAAAAAAACATTTTTTTCTACCTCTCTTTCAACGTGCAAAAAAAGTCGTGACATTTATCAGATAATGATTAATTGAAGTCATCAATGATAATGAAACGAAAAATTCTTATTTTTACAGGATATCCCGCTAGGTACATAGTTTTCTTCATTAAGAAAATAAAATGGATATTCGAGTTCAAAACCTTGAATATCTCTCTCAATTTTTTGTTGTGCCTTAAAAGTAAAATATAAACATTATTCAAAAACTCTATCAAATATTTATTCGTATATATACTTCTATCGAATAAGTGTCTTTCATCTTAGTCATGCCATTATATGCGATAATTTGAGCAAATGTTCTAGCACAATCAGTTGATATTGTAGCAAAAACCTTTTCATAAATGAGCGTATTTTGTTTTGCTACATCTTGAAAATAAAAGTAAAAACCATCTGATACCGCAGCAATTATATCAATTTTATTTGGATTCTTAAATTGAATGTCGAATAACATTCTAAAAAGTAAAATAGTTTTCTATGAAAATCACAATAATCTTAGATTTGAAATATACTCAAAGATCTATTTACGTCAATTAAAACAAAATTGTCCTACACGAATTGATTGTCCATTAAATCAACCATCTTCTTCGAGATCATTAACTATAATAAAAAATTCACTATCACGGTTACCAACTAATGAAGGATCATTTATATTTGTACTACAATATATAGCCATACAATCATCAATGATCATTATTTTTGAATGAATATATATTATTTCAGTTACCTAAAACAAGACAACGAATATTTAAATTGTATCGATGATAAAATATTTTATTTTCTAGAAGGTTCATTAGAATATCATGCTTATTCATACTAAAAAAAACTAATATAATCCTTTGGTGAAATATCTAAACATCAAAAATACAGTTGAATGTGATATATATATATACATATTTCAGTTATAGATCGATTTTCAATACATTCGAGATCGATTCAGAGATGTCTATTACAGCTGAAAACCTGTAAGTATTCGAAAAAACTGTTTTATTTTTCACTAGTGCGATTTGTGAACTTTTTGAAATTATGTACAGGGTGGGAAATAATATTATTCAAGGGGAGTACCGCTATAATTTCAAATAGAAGATATGATGAATTTTATACCAAATGAAAGTCTATGAAAAATGAGGTTTATTGGTACTAAATGA